GGAAGTCCACTCACCCCACAGCTGCAAGCACTGTGCCTCCCTCACGGCGAGAGCTAGGAAAGACAGAGAGCTCCGCCTAAGAATGATTTTATTTGATAAGGCTCTTCAGCCTTTAGAGCAAGGGGGACCGCAAGCTGAAAACCCCCTGCCATTGAAACCCGCGGCACAAAGAACTTCACCTTCTCGTTCTCTCCCGCCTTCTTCCTCCCCCAAGACTCAGGGAGAGGGACAAAGAAATATGAGGACCCCTGCTAATAAAGCAGAAGGGAAATCCTCACGGTTGCCGTCAATGCCGGTGCGCGCTGCCTCGGAGCCATCCCGAGAACGCGCTGACAAACCCGGGCGGAAAGAAAAGCCGGCGCCGCTTCAAACCGCGGCGCCGCTACAAGCCCCGGCACCGCGAAAAACCCCGGTGCCGCTAAAACAACCCGCACCACAACAAACCAAGCCTAACACTCAGCAGGCGCAGGCTGCGATCGCAAGCCAGAGCTCTACACCGGCACCGGCAGCAGATAAGGGGAGGCTTCTGCAGGAGTCTGCTACAGAGCTCTCTCAGCTGCCGTCTGACACTCACAGCAGGCAGCAACACCCCTGCCCCCCTCTCATTGACTGCTCACCAGGGACATCCTTTGCAAGGCATTCCCCTGCCAGATCGATGTCCCCAGTGTCCTTTCACGGCGCTCCCTTTCTAGAGGATGACCGCCATACGACACATTCCTCGCGACAGACGTCGCCAAGGGGGTCTCGTTCCTATTATCAGGGGGCTGGACCACAACAAAACCCGTGGCACCCCTACTGGTCTTACCCGCCCCCACCTTATCCACCCCAATGGGGGCCCTGGGACCAATGGGACCCGTACAGACGCCGGTCCTCAGTCCACTCCACACCATCTCGGAGAGGTCTGCCTCATCCACAGCCCCTACCCCCTGCATCACACACAGAGCAGGAAGAGGAGGAGGAGCGCTTTTCGGATAATGAATCCGACATTCAATCTATAAACGTCACTCACCCAGATGACCTGACTGCCCAACAGGACGATGCAGTGATACCATCAGATACTGTAGCGATTGATGACCTCAAACAGTTCCAGGAGCTATTTAAGCGGGTAGCATCAAGTCAGCATGTCTCCCTACAAGAAGTTCAAAAGAAACAACACCACTTATTAAAGAACCTGCATCCTACGCTACATAGTAAGATTGCCCTGCCGATTGATGAAGCAATCATGGAAACATCTGAGGATCTGTGGAAGACACCAGCATCCATCCAACCGACTAACAAAAAGATTGATAGGAAATATTTTGTTCCACCGAAAGACAATGACTTCCTCTTTACGCATCCACAAGCAAACTCCTTAGTGGTTGAATCTGCACAGCAAAGAGCGAAGATACCGCAATACAAGAATGGCAGTACCGACAAAGAACATAGAAA